GACTTGGAGACGCCTGGGGCAGAGCAGCCCCCCAGCTGCTCTGCCTCAGGCGTCCTGATTCAGCCACTGCTGAAACTGACCAGCAGTGACTGAATCAGGACGCCTGGGGCTGAGCAGCTGGGGTGCTGCCGGGTTGGTCCAGTAGTGCCCAGAGCGGCACTACGGGACCAACCGGCAGCGCCCCAGCTGCTGTACCACAGGCGTCTGGAGCAAAGCCACGGAGCATGGGGGCAGCGGACTGCCCAGACGCGCCGCGGCTGTCCTGCTGCCGGCGTCCTCAGAAGCTTTGCTCCCTGTCTCCCTGGTCTGCTGGTTTCCAGCAGACCAGGGAGACGTGGAGCAAAGCCATGGAGCACGCGGGCAGCGGGACAGCCCAGACGCACCGCAGCTGTCCCGCTGCCGGTGTCCTCAGAGGCTTTGCTCCCCATCTCCCTGGTCTGCTGGAGTCCAGCAGACCAGGGAGACGCAGAGCAAACCCCGTTCGTAACTGCAGATCCGACGTAAGTCGGATCTGCGTAACTCGGGGACTTCCTGTACTGTGAGAAGGGCTTGTGCAAATATATGCCTTGCTAGCTATCATAACAAATATGCCTGGGCTTTGAGCTGGTGACGTAAATTCCACACAAGGAGACACACCTGCGCTAGTTCTTATCAAGCTAGCATGCTAAAAATACTGTAGCCATGGGAGTGCAAACTGAAAATTTTCCCTCCATCTCAAAGGGCGTATCTACACAGCTGGGCTGAAGCTGAAATAAGCAGTGCAACTTGAGCTACATAAACTGCGTAGTTTAGTCAAAATAGCTTATTTCAGCTTTTAGCGCTGTCTATGCAGCACGAAGTCTGAGTTAAGAGCACTCTTCCTTTGACTTCCCTTATGCCTTGTAAAACGAGAGTTACAGGAGTCAAAGTAAGAAGTGCTCCAGCTCAACATACGAAATAACTGCTTGTTGTGTAGATGCAGAATATATTATTCTGAAATAATGCTGCTGTGTAGACATAGCCAAAGTGTAAAAAATACCCAAAGGGGCTGTAGCGGACAGCTTAATCAGGCCTGATGTCTCTAACTAACAGTACTTACTGATGGGTTACCCAACAGCTGAGTGAGTCTCCGTTATCAGTAAAAGCCCAGGCATAGGACCCAGGAATTCCTGCATTCGGGTAACACTACTGACTAACTGCATCTGTGGCCCCTAAGCAAGCTCCTTGTTAGGGCTGTCAAGTGATTAAAAATTTTAATCGTGATTAATCTCATGCAACTCCCCTTTGAAATGCTGCCTTTCAATGGGGCAGTGCTGCATGGTGCCTGGGATCAGCCAGAGTTCCCAACTGACTCCGGGCTCCATGCAGCGCTGCCCCAGGGATCAGCTGGAGTGCCCAGCTGATCCTTGGCTCCTAATGTGCTGCCCCTTTAAAGTGGCAAAATGGATCAGCTGGGGACTCAGCCCTGGCTCTGCTGTTGCAGAGCTTCTTTGAAGTGCTGGAGCGGCACTTCAAAGGGGCTTTTCAATGCGGAGCCAGGGATCAACTGGGCACTCCAGCTGATTCCC